ATCGGGACATTCCAAAATGGAAAAAATTACCTGTGAATCGTCAAGTAAAGACGCATGAGTTCCGTGAACATGGGGTCCTCGTAGCCGAGCATTGAGGTAAAGTTCCACGACCAATCCTTCGACGGATCGATCGCCCCGATCGAGGTGCCGTCACGGTAGAGATTCCTGTAGATGGTCGCCGCTATCGTGGGCAGTTTGGCAATGAGACTCATGGCGTCGTCAAAAACGTGTTCCCAATACACGGTCTTCTTCACGCCTTCCCCATAGGCTTTCGCAAACTGAGACTCGGAATTCAGCGCGGTGATGGCAGCAGAGAACTGCGACATCGGGTGCAGATTCGACGGGAAATTGTTGAGCATCGTCACGACGTGAGACGGTAAATCCGCCTTGTTGGCCCACTCCTTGGACAAAGCCGCAACCTAAAACATGAGCACGACAGTAATATTTCATCATCAATTGAACAACACATTTCAAGACTCGCGTATGTCTGGAAACTCCACGATGAATCAACGCCGCTTACGTACACGTTATAAACAGAGTTTTAAAAGCGTGCACGAACATTCATCCAGACTCACGAATAAACGAATTTCTCCATACAATTTCGAAAACCATAAAAATATTCCATTATCAACTGAAACTTGAACATTTTACAGTATTATTTCTAGTCTCAGAAATATCGAGAACCTCCTCCATGAAATCAACGCCGCTTCAATTCATGCGATCAACAGGTTTAAAAATATGTCTCCAAATTCCATGGAATAAAGAATACACGATATTCTCCACGACATTCACAAGAAATAGTTACTGAAGCTATGCCTACCACCGATAACAGCAGATGAAATCAATATACTGTGCCTGTAGTAAATTTAAGTACGAAAGTGTAGTTCAAATGGTTACATAATTTTTAAAATTCTATGCGACAACATGTCGTGCGTGGTATTAATTTTTTAAATATACTGCATAGTAAAGTATCTATTTTAAGAAGCAACGTACAGCAGTTATGAAAAAAGAATAACAATTTTAACTGCGAAGTGAACATCGTTTACTTATTTAACTTTGATTAAATAAGATTCATGAACCCTGAGCAACGTTTCTAATTTTCTTAAGATCAATTTTGAACCACAGGAAATGTATTAAACTTCAAACTTTTTTTTCCAAATTGTGAACATTTTTCGCAAGGAAATCTGATTCTATAGATATTTATCGTACCAAAGGAATGTATCCGATCACAGGTCAGATATTTCAAGATTATCATACGATACCTGCCTCAAAACAACCCGAAGTGGCGTGATACGTTCAATTCAAATTCAGACAAGTTTTTTTGGATTCAACATAAGCAAATATTGTGTGAGCTGTTCATGGAAAGCGCTAGAAATCGAATCGATCCAAAGTTCCAAGATAAAATGATTGTAACAACTTGGTTTTACCTGAGCACTGGTTGGAATATCGCCAGTGCAAAGCAGCCAATAAAGTGCCTCGGGCAGGGGTTCTTCGCCACCCTTGGCTTTCGGCAGTTTTTCCTGACACTCCGGGATTGAATAGCCGCGGAAACGAATGCCTTCCTCCGGGTCCAAAACACTGGTCTCAGTCACGAGACCTTTCATCCCGCGCATGCCTCCATACATCATGTCAACTGTGATCTCGCCCACCTTGGTCTTTCCATGAGCCTGGCGAAACTCCTTCACTTCCTTCTGCTTCTCGGGAATCTTCTTCGCTAGCACTTCTTTCAAGTTAGTCGACTCGATGGACAAGAACCTCGCCAAAAGCGTTGAGTTTGAAACATTCGTCAGCTTGAAAATAAACAACATAAAATGCAAATTAGTCAAAATTACCGCATTTACGCGAGTGAGACGCGCAACAGGGTATTTCAGTCAAAAATTTTGATAAATTTGCATCCCCGAGTAAGACCCTTGCCCTATTTTGAATTACTTTAAAACTGAAAAATTTCAAAAATAAGAACACCAAAATTTGAATGCAGACATGAGTGAACCTGAATTCAACTGATTTTCAATTATTTCCATTACAAGACTTTTTTGTTGAAATTTATCCAAAATTCCCCATTAGAATCGAATATAATCCGCACCCACTTGTTTCCTCTCAATTTTGAGAAAACAAGATGCGCATGGTACGTTAATACATCTTAAAATGAAAGCTAGTGGAATCGGGTGAACTTATGCGCTCGAGAACTCAACAACTAGGAAGACTGGCCCTGCCCTAACGGCAATTAAGGCAATACTGTACACTAACAGAGCATGCAAAACCTAGCTTGAAGCCCAAGCGAAGGAGCAATTCATAGATGTCGCTCGTACAAGGTTACCTCCATTGTACAGTACTGTATCGTGTACTGTATAACGTCGGTCATTGCACAAGGACACTAGTTTAGCGGGAAATTCTAGTTAATGCTTTTTCAAGGAGAAAACAATTAGCACAATATTGATGTACGAATGTGAGCAAGTCTGAATTATGGTTTGAAATACGTCTGCAACATTTGAGTTATGGGAGATAAATGATTTAGTAGTTCGCTCTCGAAACTTTCCGTAAACATTCCATGCGGATTTATTATGCGTTGATGACTCCATGGGTGGAACTGATCGATACACACAATACCTACGCTTCGAAACTATGACTTAGGGGGCCCTGACAGGTATTAAACATTGACAAACTCAAGAGCCAAGTTCGAGGATCGTCTCTAAACATTTGTTCACTAACACAAAATTAAGAACTTAGTACGACATACAGTAAATAAAACTTAACACTCATACAAAAGAAATCAAGCTCATGTTTTCCCCACTTTCAAAGGAGTCATCAATAACCTTTCAAGTTGTTTTCCCACTTTCAAGTTTGAACTGTATAAAACTTCAAATTGAACCATATCAATTGCAACTTGACAATAACTTGCAGAAAATATCATATACATAATCAAATNTAACAACTTGGTTTTACCTGAGCACTGGTTGGAATATCGCCAGTGCAAAGCAGCCAATACAGTGCCTCGGGCAGGGGTTCTTCGCCACCCTTGGCTTTCGGCAGTTTTTCCTGACACTCCGGGATTGAATAGCCGCGGAAACGAATGCCTTCCTCCGGGTCCAAAACACTGGTCTCAGTCACGAGACCTTTCATCCCGCGCATGCCTCCATACATCATGTCAACTGTGATCTCGCCCACCTTGGTCTTTCCATGAGCCTGGCGAAACTCCTTCACTTCCTTCTGCTTCTCGGGAATCTTCTTCGCTAGCACTTCTTTCAAGTTAGTCGACTCGATGGACAAGAACCTCGCCAAAAACGTTGAGTTTGAAACATTCGTCAGCTTGAAAAAAAAAAACATAAAATGCAAATTAGTTTAAATTACCGCATTTACGCGAGTGAGACGCGCAACAGGGTTTTTCAGTCAAAATTCTGATAAAATTGCATCCCCGAGTAAGACCCTTGCCCTATTTTAAATTACTTTAAAACTGCAAAATTTCAAAAATAAGAACACCAAAATTAGAATTCAGACATGAGTGAACCTGAATTCAACTGATTTTAAATTATTTCCATTATAAGACTTTTTGTTGAAATTGATTTAAAATTCCCCAATAGAATCGAATATAATCCGCACCCATTTGTTTCCTCTCAATTTTGTGAAAACAAGATGCGCGTGGTACGTGAATACGCCTTAAAACGCAAGCTAGGGGAATCAGGTGAACTTATGTGCTCCAGAACTCAACGAATAGGAAGACTGACCCTACCCTGCCCTAACGGCAATTAAGAAAATACTGTACAGTACAGTACTGTATAACAGAGCATGCAAAACCTAGCTTGAAGCCCAAGCGAAGGAGCAATTCATAGATGTCGCTCGTGCAAGGTTACCTCCATTGTACAGTACTGTATCGTGTACTGTATAACGTCGGTCATTGCACAAGGACACTAGTTTAGCGGGAAATTCTAGTTAAAGCTTTTTCAAGGAGAAAACAATTAGCACAATATTGATGTACAAATGTGAGCAAGTCTGAAGTATGGTTCGAAATACTTCTGCAACATTTGAGTTATGGGAGATGAATGATTTAATAGTTCGCTCCCGAAACTTTCCGTAAACATTCCATGCGGATTTATTATGCGCTGATGACTCCATGGGTGGAACTGATCGATACACACAATACCTACGCTTCGAAACTATGACTTAGGGGGCCCTGACAGGTATTAAACATTGACAAACTCAAGAGCCAAGTTCGAGGATCGTCTCTAAACATTTGTTCACTAACACAAACTCAAGAACTTAGTACGACATGCAGTAAATAAAACGTAACACTCATATAAACGGAATCAAGCTCATGTTTTCCCCACTTTCAAAGGAGTCATCAATAACCTTTCAAATTGTTTCCCCACTTTCAAGTTCGAACTGTACAAACCTTCAAATTGAACCATATCAATTGCAACTTGACATTAACTTGCAGAAAATCTCATATACATAATCAAATGCACTGCCTAAAACGAAATCGAGCTCTCACCTGCAACCCGGGCAAAACCCGAGAAAGTGCTGGCTTGAAAAGCGACATTTCCGATTCGTTGGCACGACGAGATTACAAGAGAAATCAAGAACACAGATTCGGTTACCGGGTGGGAAAATCAAGGACGCGCAAAGGGGAACTTAAGATGAAGTCTGTTGAAAAACACCAACAATGGAACATTAGCAATTCGGGAACATCATCCAGTTACGAACCGAAAATCACAAGAACTTTCAAAAGGATCACAAAGCTTGAGAGAATGTACATTAGTGTGAGAATCACAGAACATTTCGCGGAAATAGTTCCACACAAATATGATGGAAATGATCACGTCGACGCTGTCGTTGGGGGTATTTCGCCTGCTGACCCTCTTGTTCTCGGTCTCGAAGGGACAACCCGCCGAGATGAGCTTCCCGGCTTCTTCAGTTTCATGTCCTTCGAAAATACTTTCCGCAGAAAGTCCATCTCTAAAGTTGGCAGCTGCAGAAGAATTGGAACAAGGTGAACGCATTTAGCCCAACCATGATACAGATGGTCTCTCTCAACGAAGATGTTTCTCTATACAACGATTTTGTTAATGTCCCATGGGATTCTCTCCCCGCGTTATAGGGGTTCTCTACAACGAAATTTCCCCTGCAACGCATTTTTTCTGGTTCCTTCAATTTCGTTGCAAAGCGAGTCCACTTGCATACGCTACAGAAAATAACGTCAATTTCCGCATAACACGCATCTCATCGCAAATTTATTAAACGGAAAGACAAAAATGTCCCCAGAGAAGGGGGTATATATACACGTATCTCACAGAAGTTTTTAGGAGAATGAATAAGAATCGAAGCGTACCGTGAGAACTTCCAGAGAATTATTAAATTATTAAAATTTACCGCCACCTAACGGCACAAAAAATAAAATCTTCCGCGAAAAAAATAGTTGCTTGCGTGAGCTAATTATACACCAGCCAGTGATTAAAAAAAGTGGCGAGATAACTCGGAGGCAAAAAGTATTCCAACTACGCGGTTGAATGGAAATAGCCTCGGATATTGTAGAAAAGAATATTTCCACAAGGAGTTGTCGAGACAATTCAATAATTATTTTCGTAGAAGAAAAGTGAGCGGGGTGAACGAACTAGCGAAAAAACCGCGGCATCATCCTGACAAACATTTGGCACTTCGTCACCCGCGACAGTGATCAGCTTTTTCACGGCAATTCCTGGCGCGTTTCGTTCACCATTAATCTAATGAAAAAAATTGAGGAAAAATAATAGTTCCCCCGAAGAGTCAATAATTTCCCTCACTGATTTTGTAACGAATCAAGTTTTCTTCCTTTCACTTCGCCTCACACTTTTTTGACTCAAATTTCATGATTTTATGTCATTGAAATAAAGTATTCTTGATTTTGTGAATCTGTGTGGATTACTTCGAAAAAATGCCAGAAAGTACTTCACAGAGGTTTCGTACAATCCTGACGACTTTAACGAATAAAAAATGACTAAGGACCGAACAAAGTAGGCACTGAATATTAGAAATACAACTTAAGCCGAACTGTCAACACTTTCCTTGGACTAAAATCACTTTCTGGGTAACAAAAGCGTACTTTTGAAGAAGTAAAAGAAACGGATAAAAATAATTAAAAAATGTGAATGGAATTCGGATGCATGTTATAGGGAAAATGTTTAAATCTTCAGCGCATTTTAAAGAAATAAATAAATTCAAAAGAACTGAACCAAGTGAAATACGGCATTTAATAATACGAAACAAGAAGAATGAACGAACAATCGATTTCAGATTAAATTTAGGCCTGAATTAAATTTGTACACAGTTTATTCTTACAATACACCAATTCTTCATTGACTTAAAAGCAGGGTGCGTGACATGGATAAATTTGTCTCCAAATTTTAGTTCTAGAAATTCAAGTGCACGGGGTGCTCAAGCAAATAGGGTAATTATTCACAAAATTATCCTTCAAATCTGCAGGATATGCCATGTTTAATCGAATAAAGGTACGCAACGCGATTTTGGACAGTCAATTCAAGGATACAATTAAATAAGCTGCGAAAAAAGTAAATGAGCAAAAATCCGGCCTGCACAAGAGTCACATTCTTCAAAATCTTTCGTCAATAGACTCTCAAATTAAGCTAGATTCTTTTGCTTCGAAATCACAAGTAGATAGCAAACTGAACAATACTCGATTTTTTTATGAAGAACTATTTCAAGCTTCAAAAAATAACTAGTCGTATTATATTATTCGAATTCAACTAAACACAAATAAATTACTTCATTTCGCCGCAAAAGCGTTCTACGCAAAGTTATTTTGTTTTGAAAATTGCAACACACATCAGCAGATTAATTATTACATAAATGGACTAATAATTTGAAAAGAAGAAAATTATTTGTTCTCACATTCGGTCGCTCACACATCACGCGTCGGAAACACTCCTGACCATAGATGACGGTGTTCTCGGGGATGGTCTGCTTCCCTTCCACGACACACTTGACTACGATCACGCATCCATTTGTCACTTCAACTCCGCGACCGACTTTACCTGCACACGACGACAAGGACATGGGATTACGCAACTGCTGGTCCAACCCTTTCAACTGAATCTTCGAGCCTCATAAATATCCTTTTGGCACTTCGTCACCCGCGACAGTGATCAGCTTTTTCACGGCAATTCCTGGCGCGTTTCGTTCACCATTAATCTAATGAAAAAAATTGAGGAAAAATAATAGTTCCCCCGAAGAGTCAATAATTTTCCTCACTGATTTTGTAACGAATCAAGTTTTCTTCCATTCACTTCGCCTCACACTTTGTTGACTCAAATTTAATGATTTTATGTGCTTGAAATAAAGTATTCTCGACTTTGTGAGTCTCTGTGAATTACTTCGAAGAAATGCCAGAATAAGTACTTCACGGAGGTTTCGTGCAATCCTGAGAAATTTAGCGGATAAAAAGTGACTAGGGACCAAACAAAGTGGGCACAATAAATTAGAAATACAACTTGAGCAAAGTTTACGCAAAGTCATTTTGTGTTGAAAAATTGCAACACACAGCAGTAGATTAAACACAGTATTACATAAATTGACTATTAATTTGAAAAATTGAAAAGAAGAAAATTATTTGTTCTCACATTCGGTCGCTCACACATCACGCGTCGGAAACACTCCTGACCATAGATGACGGTGTTCTCGGGGATGGTCTGCTTTCCTTCCACCACACACTTGACTCGCTAGTGCGTAGGTAAACAGTGAAGTTGAGGCGCTGGCTGAAATGGACGTGTGCTGCTGTTCCTGTACCCTAATGCGTTGACGACCAGGTTGGGAAAGTTGACTTAGAAGCTCGGAGTATTTATAGGAATGGGTTGAAAAAATGCCCTTGAAATGTGGGTCATCACAATCCAATTTAGTCTACGCCAGATTTACCCAAACGGGTTTCTCGGGAAAGGAATGACGGGCCTAACGGTTTTCTTTTTTCAACATCAAATTAGGGTAGTCCAAAACCCCCCCTTGGTGCAAAAATTGGGGATTACAGGTATTCTTGTAACTCTCGATGGTAAGCTGCACCTTTCACCAGGTATTCTTGTAACTCTTGATGGTAAGCTGAACCTTTCACCAGCAGGCCCAGCACAAGGCCAAAAACCAATATGTTTGTAAATTGAGTATATAAAGGGATTCTTCACCTGCAGTGGTCATCAGTGATTCTTTGAATGTCAAAGCATCATCACTTGCTGACTTCTTCAAAATCTACAGTTCACCTTGTTGGTCCAATGGCTGGTGCTCTTCAGATCATCAAAAACCAGAAAGGGTCAGAAGGCATATTTACAATGGTTTTTTTTTCTTTTTTTAAAGAAAATGACATGGAGAGCTGGGGTGTCATTGACTACTTAGACTCTCGAAGGATTACCACAGATTGTATCATCTGTAAAAGTAAAGTAATGCACAATATTCCACAAACGGAATAACTTTATAAATCACAATGAGTCGAAGAAATGTATTTTCATTCAAATAATAAAATCAGAGAGCAATCACATCACAAAGATGCGTTGGAGACCTTACAAAATCTTCCGTTATGAACGAAAATTCGTTAAAACGAAATAAAAATAAAATTGTGGCTTTCGGGAAGGGAAAAAAATCACTGTAAGCAATAATTCGTCAAGAGATTAACAAGATTATATTGAATTTCAAACTGAGTATCCAAAGGATTACAACACATGGAGCATTTATTCACATCAATTTTCCAACGTTGTCCTTGAATACGGTCAGCTCTGCGTGAGTACATTCAACTGCGATACATTTGATAATGTAATGTTACAAGTTTAAATTGTACAGTGAACACTTCTTAATTTTCAAGGGAGAAATCTACGCAGCTCAATCAGTTAAGTTTCTGAGGAATCATACATCATTACGTATTTTAATCTTCTTTTGGGCGCAAGAAAGCAATTGATGTATAAAATGCAATGGGAAAATTAAGCTCGTTGAATGAGAGTAGATTTAATTTCTTTTTTTTTTTTTTTTTTTTGCTTAAAGGAACGCATGAGCATTGTTTATCGGGTTCAGAAAGGATCCTTCTTTTACTAATGACGAGATTTTTGCTTTCGACACTTTTTTCACATAATTCGACACAGGTACTTCAATTTTTAATGAACTCAGCGAGCATTTCACATGAATTTCGAAAGTTTGAATCTTACACGAAACTCCCAAGTTTTAGCGCGCCTTCAGCAGTTACCCACCACCATAGATGCTTAGAATATATGCGTTTTTACTAATTCACTTGAAGATCTGAAGCAAATCTGGATGAAATTTTTAGCTTTGTTCAGTTCAGCACAGAACACGACACAGGATGACGGGCGCGTTGTACACGGCCGAACTTTGAAACTCGGGAAGTGGAGCCAGGCTACGTGGCTGAATATCTGATTCAGCATATTTTAATACGAGGAGGAGCACATTGACTCTGTGGGGGCGTCACAGTTGTGTTCGGAAAAATGGCGAAGAACTCACTTTTGATTTCGAAGACATTATTGTCTCCGACTTTCAAAGCCCGCGACGACGATCCTATCTGGAATACGTTGTCATTGCCAATATACATGGTTTCTCCTTTACCGACACCATCCGGGCCTGCCCTTAAAAAGTAAACGAAGGAAAAGGAACGTTACATCCACGTCGACTGGATATTCTATACGTTCAGCATCATGCCAACTCTGTAGGACGTGGATTAATTCAGATGGGTCGTCTAATGTTACCGTGACGCTGCGATATCAGCTGACATCCGAAGACTCTTTTTTCTGAGGATTTGATAACGTGGCGGTTTGCAGAGACTCCGAAATAATTGGTCAAGGTCACATATTTCCGGTAACATGGAAAAGTTACGCTGTAAAGTGATTTAAAGTTTTTTTTAATTACTCCAAGCAATCGCACAATTTTTACAGAAACAAGTACGTCATGCACTAGTTCAATTTTTGAATTTATCCTGCATCATATTTTACATTATTTGGTAGCCTAATGAGAAACTTTGCAAATCTGGTTAATGGGGACCCAGTAACTTTCCGAACATTTGTCTACCTCCCATAATTTATGCTTTGAATTATATAGTAAGCATCGAAATAGCTCTTACTACAGTATATATAAACTAGGAAGGTGGACTGTTCGGTCCCTTTGTCTGACGCTTCTCACACAAAGTAACAAATCCCTTCATCAAGTCGATCATTCAATTCTAGCATACAATACACGTTAAAATTTAATGCACAATCGTAAGTGATGAATGAAAATTAGAATTTTAAGTAGTAAACCCCCCTCCTAAAAAAAAACGAATTCCAATGTACTCGATGTCGACCATAACCCAAACTCGAAGGTCCTTTCAGTGAGAGAAAGTGGTCAACGCCAGCTTTAGCGCATACACCTGGACTTCTGCCAATTCCTCTATTCGTCCGCCTTCAAAAGTCATTCAGAACCCTAGTGCATGTATGCCAAACCGGTGACCAAAATAACACAACACGAAAAAGCATAACCCCCAGAAAATCAACGGGTCCTAAAATACGTTCACTACGCATCGAAAAATCGTCAGTCGTTCGCTTTGGCACCAACGAACTTTACGCATGCCGACGTCACGCGAAACGTCATTAGAAATAACTTGAAGTATACTTACTTGTTAATAATTTCAGCACGCTCCTCTATCAGATTCGACTCCCCGATGACGATGGGGCCATCGATCGCGAGAATGGAACAGCCTTGACTTACAATGCTGAGCGGTCCCACTGTAACGTCGCCTTCGATCTTGGCTTGATCTAAAGCAACAAATGCACTGGATTTAATGCCAGCACGGGGCGCAGGCGCCGACTGTTCCATCGCACAAAATCACGTGATTGAATTCCGGAAAGAACTCACAACGTTCCCTAAAAACCGCGAGAAAAAAAAATGATCACGAGGACTGGCGAAAACTTATCCGTTTACCAGCAATACTGTACTTTATTCATTCATACAACACCCCCTGTTTATGTGACCCCTACAGTACAGGAGAACCAGTTTAACTCAACAGGCCAGCAATGCTAAAACGATTTTTGGCGTCACGGGGAACTCATAAGGGAACAGATGAGTACAGAGAAAAAAAAACCGACGCTCAATGAAACTAATTGAAAAGAAAATATGGGATCTTGAAATTTCGCAGTTTTAAAATCACGAATTTCACAGTTGCTCACGAACGAAGCTCAAAATACAAGAACTTCGACTTTACAAAGAAGTTGAATCGAAGTTCATAAAGCAGATTCCCAAAATTTTTTCCGCATTTCTTAAGAACGCACACAGGCAAAAGGCGAAAAACGTTAGCCACCGCCCTCACTCAATGGCATTTATATCATAGATTGCTGAGTTTAGTGACTAATCCATCAAAAACAAAATCCTTCGGTTCGGGAAGAGCAATCAACCCCTCCACGAACCAAACAACAATATAGGATTCCTTGACCACGAGTAAAAAGAAATAGTTATCTGGTAACTCACAGCGAAGCACTAAACACAAAACGTATGATGAGGACGCACTCGATCGACATTTAATCCACGGCGGTTGTGTAACTGAGTCCTTCCTCAGTCGATGCCCGATGTCCAATCGTTCCGGCGCTCCAGTTCCTGAGGTACTTCCGGTTGGTTGTATTGCACGCACGTGCTCGAAGCAATGATCAATAATCCACAGCGAAATTAACTGCTTTGAAGTTCGAAGTTTTTGCAAACGAAATTTTTCTCATATTGACGAGTCTTTTTAATCATGTCTCTTTTTATACCTTGTTTTATGACTAGTTGAATCCAATATATGCTCCTTTTCAGATATTTCGTACTTTATCTCGAACTATCTACATAATATGGGGCAGCTTCATTAAAATTTTTTTCTCATATAGAATACTTCCTAAAATGTTGTCAAAGTCATAGGATAAATAAATGCCGTTATTTTTGAGATTCCAGGGTGTGACTGGTGGCATTCATTGTATTACTGTAGACGTAACCATGACACATTGCGCTGTTCCAAGCCCAAACCCGCCATTCAATAACCAACTCTTCGAATGTAGCAAGAAACGACACCTAGCGTTGTGTCGTGTCATTATCAGCCGAACACCGAGTCTCAAACTTGAGGGTCAATTTTGCTGTGGTCCCATTTTGTAATGTTCGTAATGTTCGTGCTGTGATGAAAGCTTGAACGCGGAAATCTTACAATATCTTTATATGATCAGGAAAAGAGCGTTGGCATACTGATGAGGGCAACTGTAGCCTTTCTCCTTTTTCACCTTAGCTTTTTCCTCTCTGTAAGTTGAGCGTGGATGGCGGCGGCCTATATTGTCTGCTAGTGGATAATCTTCCATTTGTTGAGAGAAGTGGTTAGCTATGCCCGTCTAACTTGAAAGGGCGATCGTCATGCGCGGTATTAATCATGGTGAATGTTACTGCAGATGACGGAAATTCTGTAGCTTCGTTACTAGTTATTAGGTGTCGCTTTAATTGACGAAACTTCAAGCTTCAAAAACGTTTGCTTTAAAAAGAGTATAACTGCTCAGAAAAATTAGTACAGAGAAAAATATGGAACAAAATACTGCAGTTGAATCCAATATATGCTCCTTTTCAGCTATTTCGTACTTTATCTCGAACTATCTACATAATATGAGGCAGCTTCATCAAAATTTTTTTCTCATATAGAATACTTCCTAAAATGTTGTCAAAGTCATAGGATAAATAAATGCCCTTATTTTTTTAGATTCCAGGGTGTGACTGGTGGCATTCATTGTATTACTGTAGACGTAACCATGACACATTGCGCTGTTCCAAGCCCAAACCCGCCGTTCAATAACCAACTCTTCGAATGTAGCAAGAAACGACACCTAGCGTTGTGTCGTGTCATTATCAGCCGAACACCGAGTCTCAAACTTGAGGGTCAATTTTGCTGTGGTCCCATCTTGTAATGTTCGTAATGTTCGTGCTGTGATGAAAGCTTGAACGCGGAAATCTTATAATATCTTTATATGATCAGGAAAAGATCGTTGGCATACTGATGAGGGCAACTGTAGCCTTTCTTCTCCTTTTTCACCTTGGCTTTTTCCTCTCTCTAAGTTGAGCGTGGATGGCGGCGGCCCATACACAGACGATCACCTATTAGAAGGTAAACAACTCTCTTCACCAATCGATACGGGCAGATTGAACTTTCCCGCTAGCAGTACGCGCCATAATTAGTACCACTTATAATGACGTCTACTGCCTTTAAGACTGCGGTCAAATGCGGAGAAGTTACGCGCGAATCCATGCGTTGAACCGGGATCACGTGTGAAATCAACTTACTCGTTTTTATTTGTCGTGTATCATTGCGATTGTCTGAGGTAACCTTCAATTTTACTTTGCAGAGTTTTATTCAATCAGCCGAGAGTGTAAAACATGTCCATCGGTGTGCCAATGAAAGTGTTACACGAGGCCGAAGGTCACGTCATAACGCTGGAATCTATCACTGGTGAAGTTTACCGTGGAACTCTGATCGAAGCCGAGGATAACATGAATTGCCAAATGTCCAAAATAAACATTACCTACCGCGATGGTAAAATCGGTCATGTGGAAAACCTATATATTCGTGGATCGAAGATCAAATTCATGATTTTGCCAGACATGCTCAAGAACGCTCCCATGATAAAAACCATGGGGCAGCGAGGACGAGGGGCCGTTTCTGCGGCTAGTGCGGCTGCTGCTGGTCGTGGGAAGTCCGCCATTCTCCGAGCACAAGGTATGCATTTTATAGTGGGTTTGGGTTATTACTGTGCCGAAATTCAGTGGACTTTTTTAGCGATAAGTTTGAAATTATTGCTAGGGTTTGAGCCATGGATCGATTAATTTTAAAGATTTCCTACCCAATCGGATTTTAATCAAATGATTTCTTCTTTTTTCTCTTTTTACAGCTGCACGATCTCGAGGCAGAGGCATGATGAGAGCCCGCGGATGGGCACCACGAGGCCGAGGAGGTCCTCCTCAATGAGATCTCATCCGCCAGCGTCCAATGTATTCTACGTTTTTGTTTCATTTTTCATGTGTGTTCTTGGATTTCGTCCGAAGAAAGGCGTTTCAAGACCATGTTTCTTCATTTCTGTGACGAAAAGCTTGTGTGAACGATAATGTACACGCGGTACTGTCCTTTTTCAGATTTGGTGAATATTTTGTTCGTTTCTACGGAACAACTCCGTCTCGATAATGGAACAGGTTTGTTGGGCTGCTTATAATTCGGTTAGAATCAGGTTATTTAATCGCGTTTTATTTTTTGTAGACGGAGAGGGCCTTTCAAAAGCAACCGACTGTTTTCTTGAACAGGAAAAAGACCTTGCCGAAACGGAAAAAGGGTCTTCGTTACGTCAAGAGCGTTGGCTTGGGGTTCAAGACGCCCCGTGATGTAAGTCAGTTTCTTTTTTTCTGGTGAACGTAGTTTGTAAGTACAGATATGTCTGGGTTCGCATGAATTAATATTTTAATTTTTACTCCTGTCTTAATCGTGATCGTTTCGGATATTTCGACTAGGAGTACATAACTGCGGACTAAGTTATGTGAGCATCGAAGTACTGTATGAATCATATTACGTAGGCCAAATTAGGTTGTGACAGTTTATTCGAACTCGGATTTTTCTGTTCCGTAATTGATTTGTTCTGATTTGATGGTGTTCGAATTCGTTTCTCTCCGATGAAAGGTTTTTTTTTTTTTTACTCTTACAGGCGATCGACGGCAACTACATCGACAAAAAGTGTCCTTTCACGGGAAATGTGTCGATTCGTGGTCGAATTCTGACAGGTACGGTCATGAAGCTGAAGATGCAGCGGACAATCGTGATCCGTCGTGATTACTTGCACTACATTCGCAAGTACAAGCGTTTCGAGAAGCGTCATCGTAACATGTCGGTGCACTTGTCCCCGTGCTTCCGCGATGTTCACATCGGAGACATTGTGACTGTGGGCGAGTGCCGACCGTTGGCGAAAACCGTGCGTTTCAATGTGTTGAAGGTGACGAAGGCTCCGGGGTCCAAGAAAACCTTCTCCAAATTTTGAGTGCTCTCGGGTTGAAATGAAAATTTTCTCGAGTGTGTGTGTGTGATTATTGAAGTTTTATGGAATTTAATTTGTGTGCTGATGTTGTGTGGTATTTCGCGTATTGACGAATGATTCCGAAAATCTCGTTCCAGACTCCGGTGTATCGCTATTTCTGTACTGTATTCAGTGGGAAGATGGAAAAAGAGGAAATGGTGTCCCGGCCGTACGGGAAGATCGTGTTGTCTCTGGACAATGTTCTTTTGCCGCCAGAAAAGACGGCATCTAGTCCCAGTTACGAGGATGGGTTGGATGAGAAGTCTGAGTTTGAACTTCGGTTTGTTGCTTGCGAACTAATTCAAACCGCCGGAATCTTGTTGAAAGTGCCACAGGTATGACGAGTTTTGCTTCTTCCTCAATTATGGCGAAAGAAAAGTTTAATCACGAACTTGGATCGCCCTGTGCGATAAGAAACCTTTGACTATTTTTATTGTACTGTGCTGTAATTGACAGGTTGCTATGGCATCGGGTCAGGTGTTGTTCCAGAGATTTTATTATTCCAAGTCACTGGTACGTCTTCCAATGGAACATACCGCAATGGCAGCTCTTTGCTTAGCATCGAAAATTGAAGAGGCACCGCGACGTATTAGAGATATCATCAACGTGTTTCATCATATACGACAAGTTCGTGCTAGAAAGTGAGTATTATTGTTCATGGCGTTGTTCTGGGTGACCAATCGAAAGGATTGGTTTCAATTTCTTTAGTAACGTAATGTGAATTTCTATTTTGTTCTGTGGATACCTCGTGTGTGTTTTTTATTTTATTTATGAGGATGCCTTTTTATTTTCACAGGAAAGTAAGTCCGTTGGTTCTAGACACAAATTACATAGCTTTGAAGAACCAAGTGATAAAGGCGGAACGGAGAATATTGAAGGAGTTGGGATTTTGCGTCCACGTGCAGCACCCGCATAAGGTATGTATTTTCCCTCTCCGAATTGAACCTTGCACTGAGCCTTCTAATTCAAATGATTGTTTCCTTACGTTTTTCCTCCTCTGTTCCGGGGGAAAAACGAACGTTAATGCGTTGCGTTCTGTAGCTCATCGTGACTTACCTGAATTTGCTGGGCTCGCAGAAGAACACGCGACTGATGCAACACGCTTGGTAAGTTGAATGTTTTTGGAAGTTTTCGGGAAGGTCGGTTCGATTGGAAACCTGAGTCAGAGAAACGCTTTTGTGTCTTTTGGGAAGGGCGGAGAGATTTGGGGAAAGGAGGGAGGGTTAAAGTTGTATGTATTTAAAACTGTGTTGGAACCTGACATTGACACCGGGTTTGATTTTCACCTAACAGCGGATAGGTGAAAACGGCCGCTTCGCCGGACACGGTTCCAGAAAACCCCGACTCTCACGGACGTGGGCAACGAGGGGAACCCAGCGCCCACGTTTTTCTGCCAGTTCGGTTCTTTCCCCTTCCTTTTTTCAGCGAAGCCAACATTTTATGAAATTCTGTTGATATTACCATTCGGGATGCTGATGCGCGAAGTTTGCACTTGCAGGTTTTTTCTGGGCAACACTGCCATGCGTGCGAGCCAACGCTTACGGGACTGCCAAGTTGGACACTCTAGTCATCCGCTGTACGGACACTTGAGCCAAGTATTGAGCAAAAAAAAAACGCACAGTATCAAAATTTACTGTTTCCGCGCGAAAACATAATTTCTCTCGAGAATTTCTAAGTGATATCGCATTAATCAGGCTCAGGTAAGTTTCGAAACACTGTAAAGTATTTTAGAAGTGGAAGTGTAGGAAGTTCCTTGGGTCACTGACAGGTACACTATAAATCCGTTAATCGTTCATCATTTTCGTGTACAATATTTTGATTTGTCCTTCTATGCCCGTATACCTCAGCTTTTCTTGAGATTTAATTTCATGTGCGTATCTACTTTTATTTGAAACCTTTTTATCAATCAAGATCCGGTTTGAGACTGTGGCGATGCCTTTAAAATTCGGAAGCATATAAAATCATTGTACCGTACTGATTTGAATTTAATGGCTCTCGAAAGTTTATGATGGAAGATTGTCCTCGTTCGGATCTAATTCATGTGGGGTAACTTTATCACACGTCACACTCGAGCTTCTGGTGTGTATTCTTAAAGAAAAGGTGAAGCTGTGGAATAATCTATATGCAATACAGTACATTCCGACATGTCTGGTAAGTTCATCGAGATAATTAGATCGATTAGGTGCATCGAAATTTGCCAAAGAAATTTCCCGAAGCTAACAAAAAAGCGTTTCTCTGAATCAGATACCTTCAAAAAACTGATATTTAATTTCAACCTCTCTGATGTACACGCTTCTGAATGAAGCTTGTCCGTCAGAGAGCTGATGTCAGTGACCCAAAACTCACGTATTCAAATGTTGCTCTTTCTTCTTTTTTTTTTCTCCGTTGCTTTTCCTTCTCCCCTCATCCTCCTCCTTGTCCCTCGTCTTCCCTCTCTTGTGTACCTGACACTTGTGTAGGAATTACATGAATGACTCTTTGCGGAGCGACGTTTTTGTTCGGTTTACACCGAATGCGATAGCGTGTGCGTGCATTGCGCTGGCTGCGAGGAGGGAAGGTGTTCCTTTACCCAAGAACCCAAGGCCGTGGTTTGAATTGTTCGACGTTACTACCTCGGATGTACACGATATTAGCGTGTCGCTGCTCAAGTTGTACCGGATTGAAAAAGTGAGTTTTCCGGTTGCTTACGTAGCTGGCACTGAAAATTACAGTGTAGTGTTGTGGATTTTACGTGTCCTGCTAAGACACACAACTGAATTGGATGCATTTTCATTTTACGGCAAAGACTATGACACGGGGATAAATAAGGGACAATTTTAATATGAGAAATGGTTCGTTCTATTTGATGAACTAGGCTGCTCTTTTTCTTGAGTGCCAATATGTTACATCTAAATCTCTTCCGATCGAACACGGCTTGGTTTAGTTCACTCATTCTAGTAAAAATGGAACGTACGGAATGTGATTGTGATACTTGTGAACCGAAAGACGAATCGTATTTACTCCAGTACCAGACGGCATCTTTTTAAAATAAATTTGAGCAAAAAATTAGGTGCCTGTCATAGTCAGCATGAAGTTTCAAGTGGCATTAAAAAAAATTTAACGAAACTTTTCTACTAAATGTTTTCTGAGTTCTCCAATTTAATGATGCCATTATTTGTATGAATTAAAAAATTGCCATTCCATTCAGTTTTCAAGTTGGCTTCAATTTCGATTTTTACCCAACATTCTCAAATAGAAATCTTTAAACTGAAATTCAAGGTGCGTGTCTTACTCGAGTGCGTGTGGTACTCGAGGAAATGCGGTACAATTGTTTGGCTGAGTTGGTTGGGGTTCAGCCTGATTTTAGTGAAACCTCGCTTTCTTTTCTTATTGGGATCTTCAAAACGCGCTGCCTTGAAACTGGAACCCTCGGCCATCTTGAAATTGAGGCTGACACGCGAGATGAGAAATTAGTCACTGTTTTTACCTTACTTACTGTGTTCCTGGAAATTTGTTCGTTTCAAGAAGCTTTTATTTTTCTTATTACAGCCTGATCTCGAAAAACTAGAACGTAAAGTGGCCGATCTGGACAAAACCTTGAAGGATGCGAAGCTGAAGGCGCGTTTGGTAGCTGGCGGCACTCTGAGTGCCGGCAACACTCCCTTGGGAGCCGGAGTCAGCGGCACCCTCAGCCCACAATTGGACTTCTCCAATAACGCGTCTCCGTCTACAGCCAACAAAGAAAACCGAGCTTCCTCAGTGACCGTAGTCAACCTCTTTGACGACGCGAAACGTCGGAAAGAAGAACCCGTTGCGAACGGAGTCGAAGAAGGAAAGCGACGGTCTCGGAGCAGAACCCGGAGTCCCTCGCGCAAGCGGCGCCGTCGGAGCTCTTCTGACAAGCGTCACAAGAATCAAAATGGTGGCCGAGACTCTTCGGCGTCGTCTTTTACTTCCGGCTCAAGTTCGGAAGGTGACGACTCGCCTCGTGGTGGCAAGAAGAAGACCGACGGTGGGCGTCGGAACCGCAGGAAAGAGAAGCGAAGGCATCGATCGCGTCACCGACATCATCGCCGGGACCATGTGCGGAGTCGGCGACGAGTCAAGAAGGGGAAAGGGCGGTCGCCGAGTGTGTCGCCGAGACGAAGCAGGGATGATAAAAGAGGAAGAAGTAAGGCTGAGAAACGTGCCAAGTGATGCCAGTGATTTTACTTATCGCGTCGAAAGCGTTTTACACCAGTGTTTTTGCATTGCCCTTTTTGTTTCTCTCGATGCATATGTTGACGCTCTTGACGACGCTATAAGAGGTCGAGAGAGAAAAGGTTGTCGATTTTGCATCTTACTTTTGAAATACCTCGTTTACCCGGAAGTGAAACGGGTCGTCCAATAATTTGAATTCTAAAAGTTGACCGCGTGTGTTAGGGCATGCTAATTGATACTGTATCACCTTTTTTATAAGCTGTACGGGTGAAAGGTTGATGTGTTAATTTAATGTGCGCAACGTGGCCGTCACCAACTATGAACGGTAGGAACTTGATTTCTTCTCGCACCAAAAATTATAATGTTAATATCAAAGGTTTCTACAGTGATAATTGACTTATATGACACTTAAATATACTGTATAAAAATTGGAGAAACGCTTATCTTAATCATTTTATTTGATAATAATCTTACGGATATTTTTTGCTCCTTACTTTGAAGGAAACGTGATACAGTTTCTTCGGTGATGTTTGTGTTGACCATGGCTCATGAGAATCTTTTCATGAAATGAAAGCTGGAAGGTTACTGCTTGAAATAGGAAGAATTGAAAATGTGAATGGGATTATATTTTCTCGTTGTGCGAATTTTTGAGGGTTGAACTTGAGCTATATGCTTGAACTGGCGTTTTTGAATACATTCTTGGGATTTTGCATCGAACATACCTAGTGTACGTTCTTGACACAAAAAGCTAATGATTTTTCATGTGAAGCTGTGGATATGACGAATACACCACAATAGACATTTATGAAAGATTAAATTCAAATTTTAATCGACACTTAATAACCTAAGCTCACTTTTACGAATTTTCTTTATATCCACTCACATATGAGTAAATTATAGATGATTGCCCAAAATTCTTCGTTTATCAAAATTGATGCCGTGCTGAAAGGAAGACAAACAAATTTCATGAAAAATTTGCATTTCCCGAACAAGTTGATGTCAAACTTTATCAGTATAACTTGACCATCAAGCGTGGAGAAAATGGAAGTAACTACAGTACTTTCGACATTTTTCGGAAGACCTGAACGTGAAACAAATGATACAACACTTCTGGGTTAATCTGAGCTCGCGGTTAGAAGTTTCAGCAGCTATAAGATATCTTACACTTATGCGATTAGAATTATCAGAAGGACGAGAACCAAGAGCGAACCTTCCAATCATTGCTAGTTCCCTTAAAATGTTGTATCCACACGACGAAAAACACGGATTTCCAACCTCCTATCACATAAAATCACAGCCTGCCTTGAAGGAATTTTGAGTAAGATGGCCCATTAAAATTGGAACAAGTTAGTTAAAAGATATAAGATCAACAAAGAATTCTGGAAGCCGCGATTAGTCATTTTCAAGACTCACCGCCGTCGAAAATAGAAATATCATACACAAAGCTCCTTACATTCTCCTATGCCGTAAAATAACCTGCTTCAGAAGTCATCCGGGGAACGGGAGGTATGTTGTATGAAGTGCTCCAAGCTGATGAAGAATTTCACGTTGCCCGAATATTCGGGCGACATCACTGCCATCAATGAACTTCGAATTTGCCTTTGAACGGATGCGAACATCACTCGGTGCCCTGCTGTGTGGAGATCTTTGATAGCGGCGTCAAACATCTGCAGAATATTCGGCGGAGTGGCGCAATTAGGAAACTTCGCAGCAGAGAATACACATCATGGGAAAGAAAAAAATTCCTGCGGAGGAGAAGAGGGCTTTCGGAGAAGAATGCCAAGTTCAAAAATACAGCAGAGATGAAGCGACGCGCTGTCAAGAAAAAAGCAGGGAAAATTCACGGCTAAGAAACAAGCCATCTGATTTCAACTCAAGAATTTCCAGGAAATCGGAGTAAAACATAGCATATTCACTCAGTACTACGCGCTATCAAGTGAGACACACACCAGTAAGTTTTCAGTTGAAAATGTTGCTAAAATTGTATGCCCAATTAAGATGCACACTCCATTTTTAGTGACTCTTAAACCACATCACAGTACTACGAAAATAAGAACATTCAAATTTGAATTTAGACATGGATGAACCTGAATTCTATAAATTTTCAACTGTTTCTTCTAAAATTAGAACGTCATCTAAAATTGGACGTTTGGTCCAATATTTCCTGTTTCAATCAAGTGCTGTATAATGCTCACCTAAATTTCTGAGACTTTTTTGGTGAAAAATGTACACTTGCTTGTGACGCGACAAGCCTCCCCCCCCTTCTCAAATTCAAGGAATTAGGTGCGCGGGTACTCAAGTAAAAACGGTACTTCAGAAGAGAGATGATGAAAAAATTAAAAGGACATACAATCTGCCATTTTAAACATTTTAAAGCGAAACCTCCTCAGAGCCTACGGAGCTCACATATAACGCATGAAAACCAAAGAAGCATCAGTAAACTTACTTTAGCAACAGAGTAGTCAATGTCGTGCGTGTTGGTGAGATCGAACAAGAAAGTTTGTGCCTGTTCTGTAATCTGCGAACAGGAGCTTAAAATCTTATCGCGCACGGTTTGGTGCGCGGGGAAGAATAATCCTCGGTCGGGCAGCACCAGGATGAACCGGCAACCGGAAACCTGCGAACAAGACGGGAGTAACTAGAAACCAATTCTGGCTTGAACACGCGATAATAAAAAAAAAAAAACTGACTTCCTCAATAGAGACAGACAATTCCGGTCGAGCAGAATAATACAGTAGGATCAGCACGTCCACAACCACTCCGATGAGGACGCCGAATTCTAGTCCCAGGAAAATACATGACAGGAATGTGGCAAGAAAGGGAACGAAGTCGATCTCTAAAAAGAAAATAAAAAGTTACGCGAAATACACTTGAGAACATGCAAATAGAACGTCAATAAAAGAAAAAAATCACAATCCAAGAGGAATGCTATTCAAAAATCGATTCTGGGCTTTTTTTGGGCCATAACTGGCTTCGAAGAGAAAACTCAGCCTTACTTCTTGATTTCAAAATGTGAACGGCACTCCTGTAGTCCACCATGTAAATCAATGCAGTGATTATCACAGCCGCTAATGCAGTCTTGGGGATCAACGGGACCAGAGGAGTCAAGACCACTAGAGATGAGAGCACCAAGATTCCTATCGAAAGAGAATTAATTTGAAAAATCGGGATTTATGAAAATGTGCTGCACGGTATCGAACCTGTGTAAATTCCGCCAAATTGAGTACGCACACCGGATGCATGATTAATCGCGGTCCTCGAAAAAGAACCCGTCGTTGGCATGGATTGAAAAAAGGAGCCAAGAACATTCGATAGTCCAAGGGCGATCATTTCTTGCGAGGCATCCACAGGTGTTCCGAACGCTAAAAAGCAATACGTTCTTCGCATGTTAGTCACGTCCCACGCTTTCAATATAGGTACTAACTAATGAATGTCTTAAAAATTTACATGGCTCAATCAAACAACGAATTCGATATGGAGACAATTTGAATTGTTATCAAGACTTGCACAGGTCAGGTTATCTATACTGTATTGAGTAAGTTGTACCTCTTCACTAACAGGGTCGTTAATAACCTCATTTATCTGGCTAAAATCTACCCATGCATGGGCCTTTCGTGCTTTCAGAATTCAACCAACTCTACAAATTATTCCACAATTTGAGTTTTGGAGACAAAAGTTCACCACATACTTCATTTTTCAATCAATAATCCACCTAAATCCTTAAAATATGATTTAAATCATGGTAATAAATATTCGAGTCCAGGTTCGATAAAAATCGCCACTGATATTATTTGATCACACTCAGTTCTGCCTACCAACAGTAAAATATTCATTCAGGGGTAGACAATTGATCTCCCGGCTTTAAAAATCATAAGATAATCTTTTACCTTGAACATTTTTCAAGGTGATACTCACAAAAAGCTTTCGCTATTGCAATGCTCTCCACAATGGCGATCAACGGCAGGACTAACAAAGACCAACCAGCAGTTGACAAAATGCTCGCATAATTTTGACCAGGAGTGGTAGCGTTTCCAGGCAAACTGAACGGCGGAACGCTGGGAACTGGGATTCCACTGGGCACCGCCACTGTTATTTGAAATTAAGCAATTAATTCCTTTCGAAGTTCAGCGAATACAATGAAAACTCACCCGACAGGCTAATTAAATCTTGACCAGAATAACGATTTGCCAACTCCGCAATCGCTCCGCAGAGTACGACAATCAGAAAATTCCGTGCCGTGCAGATAAACCAAAAACCTTTTCTAAGTATCGATTTTTTTCGAGACGCTCCAGCATCCCCAGCAACATTGTTGTACTTGTCATTTACTAACTGCATAAAATATGAAACGTTAAAAGCTTCTTCCCATCATCAATGAAGGAAGATTTTTATACCTTGAGAAAAAGCAATAAAATAATGGCGATTTCTCCCATGAGAAAGTCGTAACCTTTCGTATTCGAAATCTCCCTGTAGAGTGCTTCCAGAGTTGCAAGGAAGTCATTCCCTGTACTTTGAACCAGCTTCAATCCAAGAAGCGACGGAATTTGAGAAATTATGATTGTAACAGCCGCTGCCGAAGTGAATCCAACTGTCACTGGAGTCGATATAAAATTGACGACAAACCCTGGCGAGACAAAAAGGGATCTATAATGCTAAAGACAAGAAAAATTCGAAATTGCAGGGGGGGCAGAAAAGACAAAACGCGTCGGAAGTCTTTCGTTATTCTCCTCAATTTTTTTCAAATATATACATTGATACAGTAAAACAAGACTTTCTTAAAATTCATTAATAACTTCTATGAACAAAATTATCAATTAAAAATTAAAATACAGCATAAATACAAATATGAGGTTAACTTCCGAGAACAACATTTTATAAAGCAATTTCAATGCATATTCCCCTAAAACACGACGTCGTCAAAGGGAACATTTTTCCAGCATTCGAAATATTGCCGACAAACAATCTGGAAAGAAATATGCAAGATTACAAGGCGAACATCATATCCTCACAGTGATGAGTACTGTACAGTACTTTCAACTGTCAGCCTTTTCTCAAATTAAGCAGAGGTGAACATGGATCAGGAAATGTTCGAATATTCCTCGGTGAAAATAACGTCCAGAATTTCCAAGACAAAAACTTACCGGAAAGCCAGTAATCGAAATTTCGTCACTAGGCTTTCGGGGAAGCACAGGTTTTATTAACTGCTTGATCAATACAGGGATAATCACCAAAGTTTCACTTACCAAGGTTCATCAAGCCGAAGACCAGAACGATAACCCCAGTGGAGAAACAGAGGATGACAGCGTACTCGGGGCCGTGATCCGTCACGTACTTGTTAGTCATCAACGAAAGGATAGCTGTGGGGCCGATAGTAACGTCTTTCACACTTCCAAACACGGCGTACACGAAACAACCCATGAACGCTGAATACAATCCGTGCTGTCAAAAAAAAAATTCCTTCGTTCAACGTGGTAGAAAACGACGAGAAAAAAATCTAAAACCCCAACCTCCGGGCTCAATCCGGCCAGGGTTGCGTAGGCAATTGCTTGCGGAATGGCAGTCAACCCGACCGTCAGACCAGCAATAAAATCCCCAAGGGCCTTATCATAGCTGTAATTGGGCAGCCACGACAAAACCGGACATTTCCGTTCCCAGAAATTCAGAGTACCGAGTTTTCTCCGCACTCTGTCGGCGTAAACAATCAGGTCAACGCTGCCGTCATCCGGTAGCAGGGAAGACGATCTCCGACCTTGCCCTAGACAAATTGGGACATTTTGATCAATCCTAACATTTGAAGGAAACGAACGAAGAAAAATACTCCATTCACGATGATATTAGAAGCATTTTTTTCTGATTCTGACTCACGAAGATTGTCAAAAATAACCTACTGAGAGCTTCTAAATACTGTACAGTGCAAGTATCAAGTTTCATTTTAATCAGAATTGAAAATTTTTAAACGAAAAGCAAGAAAGCGACTTTCCCTCACGTGACCCTAAAGTCAAGAAAAATTTACTGTAAAAGGTCAACCAAAATCGGGAGAAAATCAACGCTTGACTTAGTTCGCAGTCCGTCACCGCAATGTGCTGTGACTGAGTAAATACAGTATTAATATACTGTTGCATCATCATCTAATACTTGCCACATTATTTGCATCACCCTGTATAACGATAGCGTTTTCAAGACACGAACGGACTTCTTCTGCAATAATATATTCGTGGTAAAATACATAATATTCTATAGAGTTCCTTACGATAAAGAAAATCCCTCGGTACCATACAGAATCCTTGCACAGGGAATAAATAAGAGAGACTTCCGATGAACAATATGATGGAAATGACGGGAAACTACAACGTAAAAGTAAAATACTGCCTATTTTCACGTACACGCATTAAATCGTGAAATAATAAGGAAATTTAAATAATTACCAGTGACCAACGGCGTCTCTTCACCGGGCTCCTCCATCAAACCGAAGCTTCACGCACCAACAACAAATAAGACTAATTTAAACGCATGCATCGCAAAACGTTCAACTCTAAAACGTAGAGACGAAAACGCAATTAATATCGAATTCCACCGCTTCCACATGCAATAAATGCACACTCATTTCGCATAATTTCATTATCCCCAAAAAATCTTCGGTGAGAAACGTATGCTTTAATTAAACGAGAAATAGATTCTCCAACAATAAAAAGATCATTTCATTCGAAGTTCAAACCCAGAACTGGTATTTCCCACCCGAAAAACACCGCGATGCGTGTAATTCTGCAGTTGCACGGTAGAAAAAATTGAAATGGATTCGTGCGTTCACACCAAACTCGGCATAGCACACGACTGTCGATGCACAAGAACCGTGAGTGAAATTCAATCTCCCTTCAACTGCGGATTTCAGTGGAGCACGACTATTTACAACCACATTGACTCAAATTCCAAGGCAGTGCAAACTGAATACACTTGAATTTACGACGAATTGTTCGCGCGCAAAAAAAAAAAAAAAAACTGTTCACGACATGACTCAACAAGCGAAGAATTGTTTCCAATTTTTTTTTGACTATTCCGATCACTGAATTGAACAGCTTAAGAGATTTCAAATATCTCATCAAGCAGAAGATCAAGAATGAAAATCACCGATTCTTCGTGCACTACGCGTAAATTTTCTTCTCACCTTTGAAACAGAAACCCGAGATGAACGAGAGAATATTTGAAACATCAATGACAGCGACCCGCCCAACACTTTTCTGAATAACCGAACTACGCTATTCAAAAAAATCACTACTGCGTACGGAATAAAGACGCTAGGAATGTTGGAAAAAATTAGCTCTATTTTTGCAAGTTCACACGGAATGCTTAAAAAAGTGAAGTAGGAACAGGAGATGAGGAGCCATTCTTGACTTATCATCGAACACGATAAATTCCATGCCGCACGAAAGTGTGTCATACGACATTAGCTCAATGCTGCGAATGTTTAGCCTAGATCTTGATCCAACGCGATTAGCGGATAACTGATACTACACAAGACAAGAACTGCAAAATGGAACGCTTCAATCAGGTCTCTCAAGTCCACGAACAGTTTACACATTCGTACGAACATCAAATAAAAAGGAACACAACGGAGATCAGTGAATAAACGTGACCAGTAAAAATCTCACGACATAGAGTACGATGACCAGAATATCTGTCTTTGAACGAGATTCTCGCGTCGATCTAAGAACAATTCCTAGACAAACAGTATATCTAATTACAAATGTTTCTGAAATAAATGAACCATCACGCGAAATTCAGAAAACCATCTGCTGAACACAAAAACTGCCTCAAAACCTTCAACTTAACCAGCCTGAGATTTTCAATACTGATCGCAACTGCTTCACCACATTCAAAATCTGTATGTTTGAGCAATTTCGAAAAAGATCAAGATGCTAGGGAAAACGTTTACTATAAACATAATTTCAACTTTCATATTAAATTAAAAGAAATGGAATGCAGGAACAGATGAGAATTTCATCAAGATTCCAGATCAATTTGAAACTATTCAGATAACCATGAAGTTCTAAACTTCAAGCTGAGAAACGCAGATTTAGAAACTTACTAAAATGTTTCACTACATGGGACGCCAATAGTTCTCGAAAATAATTTTTCCGATATGGTTTGAACTTGCACGAACATTATAACGTCCACAATTCACGCAATTTTTAAAAGATGGGTGGAAAATCGTTCTCGTTGCCCTCGGGATATTCAATAAGACACAAAGTTGAAACTCACACTCGCGAAGTTGAACTACTCTTAAAACTCTATAACAGCGAATGTCGTTCAAGCGTCACAAGAGGCCGATCCAATTTTTGCTCAAATGTAATCTGATACAGATTTCCTTCACAGGTTCACCTCGAAAAATTGAAAGATACTCTAAAGTCTAGATGATCAGAATTATTTCGTTCATGCGACTAGAAAAATATCCTCATGAAGTTAGGACAAGACTGGAAAGCTTTCGATATCGGAACGAGTCTGACGAACAGAAATTTCCCGATCAGTTTAGCTACAAACATAGAAACGCTGGGAAATTCGAACAGTACGGCGAGTGCAACGGACTGCACAGACAAAACTGTTTCCATCCTGATCTTCCTTTCCAATAAAAAGAAAAAAACCGGGACACACGCTTGGTTTTTCAGCTCCCTGCAGGTGGTATATCTTCAAACAAACCATTCGCCTTCCTGGCTCTGCAATACTTTGCTGCAAGACCAGAAAGCAATTAAACGAGTTCACGGGAGGAGAAAATGAGGCGGAATTCACCTTGAAGGAGGGCTCATTTGCCCAGATGTAGATCCGTGTACCCGTCGAACCTCATCCCATCTACAGGGAGCACCGCGTTTCCCATATTCGGAACAGATGTCATACCTATCGCATCCATGTCATCGTACGCTCCACACGCTTGTTTCACTCCATTCCGTAGCATTATGTCGTGTCCTGGGATCAAAATTCAAAATTCAATTCGAAGACCCGCATAGGGGAAAATAAAATAATTACATACCTGGATGTGACACAGTGCTACCTGCCTGGCGTTTGAATGCCTCTTCACTCTGATATTGCATTTGATGGAGACTCTGTTGATATGCGCCTCTTCCATCACGACGAGAGCACTTGACAATGACCACGGTTAAGCAGATTAGCAGCAGGCCTCCAACACCAACCGCTATCGCTATCAACCCGTTCTTTCCCACGTATTCCTCCAGATTTCCCGCAGAAACTGCAAAAATTTATGCCTCAGTGATTCATCGGAAGTTTCACACAAAAATTAGACATAATTTGGTGGAAATGAGGCAATTGGAAAACCATCGGGCTATGGAGACTGTTGCTCGAAGTCCTCGAACAGTAGTCATGAAGTGAAAAATTTGTGATCAGAACGCATTATTTTCATCAAAAAATCTCTCGGGCGCAGGTAGATGTATCTGGAAGTCACAACTCACTGGCATTTTACTAGATTAGACAGAAATTCCACTTAATTCAGGGTTATTTCGTGTAGATCTTAGACTCGGAATTCGGGACTTTTCCGATTTATTTAATAAACTACCATTTTTGCGAGGTTTGTGGCGGTTTAACGGGATTGGCGATTTAAAGAGGCTTGGTGGTTTATCAGACCACAAAAATAATATTAAACCAGGTATAAAAGGATATACAATTCTTACCCTTCCAAAAGCCATCAAAATAATCCTGGGATGCGTAAATTATATCTAACTAATGTTCTCAAGAAGTATATTATGTCATCTTCGTGTACATAGAACTGCAAACCTCTTGCAGAACTTTAAACTCGCATTTTAAAACTTTAATCTTGTTGGCGGGTCATGGAAGACAAAATTAATTAGCAGGAGCATATTTGAGTTCGCAAAGTTTTGGCGGAAGGCTTTTTTTTCAATTTCAATTACGAAAGTTTTTTTTTTCAGAATAAAACGGCGGTCTTCAAGGGTGGCGACTCATTGGGGCGTCTCAAAAGTGTTCGACGGTAACAAACTCACGGAAAGTAATCAAGCATGGATAACAACAATATTTGAAAATCGAATGCACAGTACAGTGTTCAAGAAATCTTTCAAACGTCTCAAGTAGAACATACACGGCATTGCTCAAACTTGCTAGAACACCAATTCCCGAATGAATAATACATCCGCAAGCAAGTGTAACCACTCGTTGCAGTAAAAGAGTGGGGGCTTGTCATACAGCGATACAGGAGAAAAACCGTCAGATTCCCTGTCATTCCCAATAGTACTTACCGGGACATCCTGCACTCAAAGCTTCGTCAGAGCCATCATCACAGTGCTTCACTCCATCACAAACCAACGCAGAGCTTATGCAAACAGCGCTCTGCACGCACTCAAAATCTGGGCAATCATACGTGCCGGGCTTCTTGAACGCAGTAATGACCATCCGGAAACCGAAATCATCTAATCCTTCTTGGTCAGTAAGGAAAACTATGGTGAGGTGATTCGAAGGAATTTGTACTGATCCAACAGTCGAGGGCATATTTTTGCAGCTAAGTTGCAACTATACAAAAGAAAAAAAACCTGGTGTCAATTGTTTTTTACGCTTCGCTAAGCAGATGCACGTACCTTTGGTTCGGAGTCTGAATGATCACTGTCAAAAATCAGGAGCTTGTCATTGCAGTCAAGTCGTAGATTGTCGAACCGAATCAAGAAATGCTGAAGAGCAGTGCCGGTTTGGAACGTAACCTTGCAGTTCATATTTGGATCAGTACCAGACCAAAGAACAATGCCCGAGTTGATCATTCGACGCTTTGATAGACGATCTCCTTTGCACATTGAATGTAGGCTAACTGCAAACATATTTCAAATCAAAAATATAAATTCATCAGCAAAAAAAAAAAAAATATATATATATATATATACAGTACATATATAAACCGATCATTGCACACAGTTATCCTTCAAGACTAGCTAGCAATGCTCAGAAAAAATGGGAATCAACGTTCCTCCATTTTGCTTCGGCTTCAAAATTCATTATTTCTCGCTCTGCGGCACTAATACAGTTAGGTTAGAACCGAAAATTTGTTCTTATTAATCGACCACCACAGCAATTACTCTTGAACATTTTATTGCTGACGAGTGACTTATTAAAAAAATTATTTCTTATGAGCGCGTAATGACTTGGTTCAATTTTTCTTGAAAATACAGGCGGCAATCAAACCATCCCAGCTACAAACCCGCGGCTAAAACCCTTCATTTGCTCCTTAAATACCAAAGCTCAAAATTTGACAAAAACACTTTCGGTACACTCCGGTAAAAATTTCAAACTCACCAATTTCGTTTGGCTCATCCGATGCTCCGTTTACGGGATTGAACCAAATCCCGCATAATTCTATGATGAGGAAGATTTGCATTAATGACTGAAGGCACCTGGGAAGGAAGTTTTTCCCCGTTCGTCTGATGCGTTCGCGAGAACCATCAGACACGCGGCCGGGTGTAGCTGAACCTGACTGCCCTGGTTGCAAGGCGTCTCGTATGAACTCCTCCAGCCCCATGTTTGGGCACCAGACACAATGCCTTCAAAACCCATTCACAAGCACTTCTTTTCCACCTGCAACACAAACATTTCCTTGAAGGAGAATGCAAGGAAGTATAAAAATGCGACGAAATGTAATCAAGAAGCGCCACGAGGGCACTTCTGATTAAATTTGCATCTACTGTACATCATATCCACATGAAAAGTTTAATTAGACAAAAATCATGTAATACAAACAATCAAGAGAAAACATCCAACAACGTATGACAATAACGTGAGTGACTGAAGTCCGAAATGCAGTAGTCGAAGAGGTTTAAAATAACAGCATTACCCACACACGTATCACATACATTTTCAAAAAAGAAAAAAAATGTCTTGGAAGAATTTGATCATTCCTAAAGATCCAATATCACAATACAGGTGGGAAAATCATCGTATGTCATTTACAATACTATAGCCGTTTATGTGCATTGAATATACAAAAAAATCGATCGCAGTTTTCCCATTCAAAACAAATTTGATGTGCACAAGGCCAATGAATAGCTGAGAACACAGCAGGGGGAAAAATGAAAGTGTGACGCTGAACATGGACAAACTAAGAATGTAGATCTTAACAGGGATTATCTTTCGGAGAAACTGAAAGACCACCAATGGCTCCTGACAGGTTTTCAGGATCGGCACCAACACATTCAGGCATTACGGCAAGTCTTTCTCGTCGCGGATCATTTTTGAAAAGTTTGGCCTCATCTTTCGACAAGAACTGTCCATCTGATCTATGTCGCAAGAAGCGAGCTTTGCAACGGGCACCAGTAGACAAGTCGGGTTCTTTCAATGCAGATAAATCCGGGTAAAGGCTCTGCGCTGGTTCGCTTGCCATCATCTCCGATGAGACTGTACCGACCAATCCAACACTCTTGCTTCGGTGATCCTTCAAACTGGCGAATGTCCTGGGCTGCTCTCGCGTCTGAGTAGAGGAAACTGAGTGCTCATCAATTCTGAAAAGTAAATGAATGAAAACAAATTAAAATTATAGGATTGTAGATACACTCAGAATCGAGCTCTTTCGCAAGAAAAGGACACGAACACGATATTTTTTTTTTATGTGATCGGTTTCAATTTTTTGCAGGACTCTCGCTTGCAGCGTATTGAGTGAAAGTTTCTAAAATTATCAAAATTGCACATAGCAGGCAGTGTTCAAGAAAATATCAGATTGGATTTGAAGATACCCACCAACTTTTCAGTCGATCGAACTGAAAAGATTTTCTTACAAGCTGATTGCAGATTGTCTAGTATCCCGTAATACCAAATGAATTTTTTCGCAGAATCGACTGAAGATCGACGTTCATCAGACTACAATGCATTCTGAATTAAAATACATTGAATTGAAAAAAGCGCGAATGAGAGCTCGATCACGTTAGCAATACGAATGCTGCCGTATCTTTCCCCCGATTTTAGCGAAAACACATTTTTAAACAAAATCCTGAATAAAAAGTCAGCATTTTAATCGATCCCAAGTTCATTATTCTTTGTTGAACAAAATTTTAAAAAGGGTGTGGGAAGTTCGTTGTGGAGAATTTCTATATGTGTTGAGACCCTTACGGGCGCAAGAATATTTCTTTGCATCGATAAAATCGTTGGCTTTCCGCAGAATTTCGTTTTTAACTCATGACCTGCATTCCAACCTCTGAAAAATGAATTACGATCAAACAAATTGTCATTACAAGAATAAAATTTCTTACAATTCAGGAAAAATCTCAGCTTGATGCATGGACGCTTCGGCACCACTGGGAGTGGGAACAGGGCCAATCGATGTCTGATATCCAGTCATATTACAAGAGGCTTGCAAACTGATGTCGTCACAACTGTGGATCACAATTTTTGTTATGCAACATGGTTGGGCCAAAAAAAGAAAAAATTTCGGTGAGTCATCAACATAGGTTACATGAACAGTGAAAATGTCATGCACCTGCGATTCACTGTACAACGGACTGCTGTACCAGGAATAGTCTCCTCGCGTATACATTTCAATCATCAACTCTTTAATATGCTCTTTCACCTGATAGGCTTCAGATTATTTATTAGAGAGTTGAACACACACTGATGCACGCTTCTCGTAATTCATCAAATAATTTAAAGGGCTATAAGAGCCTTCATCTCGCTTAACAGTACAGTACAGTATTCGTAATTCCACATTAGCACGAAGATTTACACAAAATGATAGAGGTGCTTTAAAAACGGGGATTATAGAGAGGGAGAAAAATGCAACTCTAAGGACGAGTAAAAGATACAGCAGGGGGCAAAGATCTCACGAATTACACCAGACTTCCTTAAAATCAAGAGAGAATGTTTCCCTCATATCTAACGATTACTATCATTAAATTTTACACGATAATTTCAATTTACAGTAGTAGGTAACACACTAACACCATATCCAACAAATTTAAAAATACTTACCACAAATTGCTAGGCTCTGGGTAAAAACTGTTGTAGGAGTACTCAGGAGGTCCAACAGCAGGATCTACAGAATACGGAGGAGGTGGACTGTCCATAAGACGAGTGAACTTCTCCGACGTGCTTTCCTGATACGGTTTATCAGACAACTGACAGCTCTTGACTTTTTCTTTCGCGTATTGCACTGCAAGTTCGACCACGCCAACTCCAGTGAATTTCACATCCTGGATTTCTCCAGTGACGTCAGGGATCTGTTGTCCGATTGTATTCTGCGACTCGTAGATGAATTTGCACTTAGAGCTTGCAATTGCGCAGGCGTCTGAGATGTGTAGAACAGCATTTTTGACACGGATCAGCTTCACAACTTCATTTTCTTTCACTACATCAGCATCTAATCGAAGAGAAAACAATCAGTTATAAAGATATCCACAATTTTGAGATGTTACACATTCACTCACACTCGAGTTGAGCTAAATCTTTCTTACGCTCCGCCTCTAAGACACGCATTTCGATTGCCGACATCTCTTCTGATGTTGTATCCACGCGCTTCGCTAATCTTTTCAACTCCTTCTTCAGCTTCACTTCTTGTTGATCGCATGAGTCCAAACGATTCCTGGCACAGTCCAGCTGTCTCTCGCCTTCCAGGATCATCTCGAAGTGCGTCCTGAACTCTCGCATTTTTTCTAAAATTATGACGCTTAATCATTTCATGCTCGGAGAAAAGTATGAAAAGAAAATTACCGATTAGCTCAAGTTGCACCTCTTCCCAAACAGTACTCAATTCCAGGAGTTTACTAAAAACGACCTGCAGTGATCTGTTATCTTCCCTGCAAGCCCACCTCTGAAGATCTTTCATCAGCGTTGCTTGAGCAGATATGTATGCTTTGTAGGCCTTCTTCGTTTCTCGAGATTGGTTGATAATCAAATTCAAATCCGCGTGACCGGAGCTCCGAGCCCGAAATCGTATTCCGCTCCTTAAAATGAACGACGTGATTATCCCACGAGACTATAACATCTGACTTTATTCCCCTCACCTGCGGAGTACCTTCGTGGCCTTCTCCATTATCAGAAACGGTGAGCTGGAAATTTCAACGAAGACTGAATAACAGCACTGTTTCAAAAGACATATTAAGAGAGAGAGAGATCATAGAAATAAACCATCCGGCGCATCTGTCAAAAGGAATCAATAACGTCAGTTCAAATACGCTTGGGTGGAAAACTCCGATTCGAACACAGTATCGTAAAAGCCTAAGTTTGCGCGTACCTGCGCCCTCAAATATTTTTTCAGACATTCCATGAATACATGTCACTTAGATGGGGAAATAAATAATTCAACCATACAGGAATTCGGCGGTGGGAAAACACACAAACACACCCACACAACGGAACACCCGAGAAACTACCTGACCAACGGTCACTCGGCAACTACCTCAAGAGCGTACGATACGGACACTATAAACGAAGATCCGCTTATGAGCAATATTAATGAGATCAAGATGGCCGTTGAACACGCTGCAAGAACGCGCTCCAGTGCCGTTGAAGGTGTGTCGAAGCCCCAATCGAATTAGATAGAGCTATGAAGAAATATCAAAGAGCTTTCTTAGAGCATCTAATTGCTCAACCGACCATAGCAGATGTGACTTAATTCCCATATACTGTGCTGTACAGTGCAGTACCGCAGTTATGTATATGTACTGAGACTTTCATGCATCTCTTGCGCAAGCGCAAGATATCCGATTGAATCCACCAATGAATGGACATCTGAATAAAATCTCTATAAATTGAATAAAATATATTGTACTGTATTTGCTTGCATTCCCATCAACTGTAGTTCGGGGTTCGGATGAGCTACAGCACAGTACGTGATGAGTACTGCATTGATATACTATATAGTATACAGTTCTTCCATGCTTGCGGCGTTACGCAAACTTTTACTGATGGAGTGTAGGGTCGGCATTAACTGAAGTCCCGCGAAAATTTCATGGCCAAATGAAGCTCTTGCGATTTAACTCCATTGTTTTACTTATTCAAATCTGGCTGGTTTTTTAATGCTGCGACTTTTGTTGTGAAAATATTCCATCTTTCTTATCAAAGTATATCAAGAATATTTTTAAAAGTTCATATATCTTAGTCAGTGAAGTAAGCAAGTTAATTTGAAGATAACAAAATTTATCCACGCGACCTTTCTATTTGAGTAATTCTCAACAGTACATATTTGTTATGACCAATAATCGCGTACTTTCCACTTATTCGCAGGAAGGAAATGCGTCAGTAAGGAATAGGCATATCCACGTGTAGTCCCCTTCAACAATTAAATTCATCCGAGGTACCGAGGACAGAAGAAAATGCGTAATGGAGAGAATTTTGTTGGATGAGAGTGGACCTCTATTATAGTAGGCTGCAAAGATTATCTGTAACACCATACATAGTAAGACCTGTCCATTTTACAATCCTACTTCGTGAGTTCTAATTCCACCACCTTCATCAGTGCAGGCGATCCTTCCCAAGACATTCATCATCGGACCGGATTTCATGACTCATCCAGGGTAAGAAATGATTACTCGAAACAATTTCGTCACAAAAGTTTTCTTCCTCTCAACAGACGAGAAGACAAAAAGAAATATACACCAACACTCCCATCAAAATTGTTTGACGCCACACTCAAAATTCCTCATTGCCCAATCAAACCATGAAAAAACGGGAGTTTCGCAGCTCGGTAACGCCTAGAACTCGCACAGTAATAAAACCCCTCAGGAAAACTGAATAAAAACAGAGCGGAAAGGCGATTTCGCATCACGGGCGAGAACCTCCTACAAGAATTATTACGATTTCCTTTCCGCTTATTGCATCACAGTTGCCGAGAAAATATTTTCGCATTCCGAACGGGGCCAGTGCAAGGAATTTTCGGGAAGCTTTTCATCAGGAAAGGAAAACGCGGATGATCCAAACCATGCTGGACACATTCATTCATGAGATCCATCCCACGAGGTTCGCTTTCTTTTTCTTCCTTTCTTTCGCACGCAATTATTCCAATTTTCAACCATAAACAGCAGAACATCTCCAACGACGAAGAATGCGGGGCGAACCACCAAAGAAAACATTCTCTGCTCAGTCACTAACCCACTATAAAATATATATCTTCGTAATAGGATGCAAAAAAAAAACGAGAACCGAGCATACGACGTCCGGGCATCGGTGGGTTAAAAGCGAACCGGAACTTCGAATCCAAATGAACCCGTACATTCTTTTGAGACTGAGGCAAATCAAGCAAAATGAGTGGGAATCGTGGGGGGAACCATAATAAGCTGGGCAGAAAAAAATCACAGCCAACACAAAGATAACGTCGCGGAGCACGCGCAGTTTTGCAAGTTATATATATAAAAACACACCTCAAGTGATTGACAAAAAAAAAGAACCTTGGCGGAAGTTCGGGGCGAAAAAATGTCGCCGGGAACTTCCTCGAGCAGATGCGACAGCAGGAGAAACTTGGTACTTCCGAACCCCGTCACTAGGTCACGGTCATCGGTTGGCCATCTTGGCTTTCCGTTTCCGTGCTGCGAGCATGTCGTAAAATGGATGATGACTGCTGCTGCGTCTGCAAACGAAGAACAAGTGAACATTAGTGATATATTCAAATGATACTGGCAAGCCTTCGAGAAATTTCCGACAAAAAATGTATACCGTATACTGTACAGCACACGGTAATGATACAAGCGATTCAACCACTTTCGAGACACCATAATTGCATAATACAATCTCAAGAGTAAAAAACGTAAAAATAACGTAGATTGATTGGTGGACCGGAGAATTTCCGGAATTGTTTGAACAGACATTTTGTTTAAAAGAAGTTAGGTACACTATTTTTTAACCAAGTACAGTACAGTATATTCGTCCCGATCTCATAAGCGACACATGCAGTCGTTCAAATATTAATACTGTACTTAAAACTTGCTCTGTCCGCAAGAATAATAGACAAAAAAGAATCAATTTGGAAGATGCGAATTATTATTCAAGGAATAAAAAAGCCTCAAGTCCAAAAACAATTTCGTTCTGGACAAGTAGGTCATTCGAACGCAACGGCCTTTAAAAAAAAATGAAAGTTTTAATGTTGTTTCATTCCATGAAAATACATCAGCACTTCAAAATTAAACGTGATTGGGTACCCTCAGATTACTACTCGCTGCGGATTTTCACGCACCAAAAATTTGGCTCTACCTAAGAAAAATAGTATTGTGATACGAACTGCTGGTTAAAGAAAAGAAGTCATGTCTGTTCAAAAAGCAAAATGCCTGCTCACACATATCAAGACATCACGATTAATAAAACCATCATCTAATGACTGAGCCTTCTCTTTTGACACGGACCGCGTGTTCTTAAACGGAAAAAAACTAAATTGATAACTTTGAGAATTCAATGGAAAATCGTGTTGGAGAAATACTTACTTGATGCAGCTCATCCACTCGTCCTTCTCCTCCTGACTGGCCGCTGACATGCGATAAACAGTATGCTTTCCTGTAGAGCAATGAAAAGAAAAGATTAGCATTCCTTCGAAAGGATTACAGTATACGGCTCTCCCCGCGCGACAAAGATACATACAAATCCGATTTCCTTAATACACACGAACACACAAAAGTAAACTCATTTCGCCTTGTGCTTTCAGGAAACGATTTGGTCGCAAGGCTCGATGGATTACCGATTACGAAAGCATTAAAAACAACTAGCATAGTGCAGTATCTTATCTATGAGCCACGTGATAATGAAGCCTTCACTCCCACGAGCGTGAGACCAAACGGTGCTCGGTTGGGTACTGCACTTGTGGCGAACACACAAAGGAAGCTTACCAATGAAAACGGGGAGAAAACCACAAGGCATCGTAAAAAAAAAAAGAGACTTGACGTACCTTCGACGACCTTGCCGTCAGAGTCGGTCTTGCACGCCTTTATGATCTCCGCCGAGTTGGCGTATAGTTCAAAGCAGTGAGGCTTGGACCTGTCGTGTACTTCGCGGACTTGAATGTTTTCCAGCGGGATGATGCCTCGCGGTTCCTTGTCCGTCGTGTACTCGAAGTAGTACAAGCACTTGTCGTTGAGAATGAACCAACGTCGCTTCCAGCTCTTGATCCGTCCTCCTTGCTTCCACAGCCAGCCCTCCTTGTCCGGGTTGAAAAATGTGTGCATCAAATCGTTCCCGTCATCCTCTGGGATCTTGAAGGGCTCTGACCGGATATTCTCATACAGCGACTGCAATGAACGAAACAAAAGTTTGTAAGCCGTTCACAACCAACTCGCCCAGAACCTTTCAGTTTCATTCGACAGAATAATCCTCGAACAATGGTACAATTCATTGTCTCAGATCTCCCGTTTATCCCGTCTCAAATCGTCAGAATTAATGTCTCCACAAATGCATTCACCCAGCTCAACAACAGACTCGTGAAAATGAGTCATAATTTCATGAATCAGCAACCTCGCATATCTCTGAAATAATTTTCTCACGGTGGAGATTTTCAGATGGAAAATGATTTCGAGTTTATCAAAAATAACTAAGGATTCTGTGTAACGATCACGCCAAATGGCAACAAAATAGTTTCAACGAGCTTCAGCTAAACTTTATCGCTACCACTCAACAAAAGGATATATCCGACAATTACATTGCCAAATGAGACTTTCTTAATAAATGCTGCTTTTCCTTTCAAGCGTAAGAATACCGTATATTCATTCAAATAAAAGACGGATAGTGCATTTATACTAATTTTTGAAATCTTAAATCCACAGGCACAACGATCAAGAGATGATGACATTATTTTTCAAATGAAAATGGTCCAAAATTCAATTCCAAAAAGGGATCGTCATCACCATTTTTAGTTCACCTTACAAGAGCCATCGCAGACGAGACTCTGATACCTGAGGCGTTAAAGGGGATTAACACAGCGCTTGAATAAGCACAAGCAGAAACAACGATTTATTCAGATTTTGATTTTTTTATGAATGCAACGCGAGTGCGTCCTGAATTTGCAAGCAAGAATTTTGCTTTTCGTTCCGAAGAAAAAAAAAAGGCAAGAGGTGCATCTTATGATCAATGGTCTTTCACATTAAAGAGGATATACGGCATTACGTTTCTCACGCTTCACTATTTACGAAAAGGGATACGGAAGTTGGCAGACCAAATCTCCTGCACACGACGGTGGGTTGTTTTAATGGCTCTTCTAAATCACAGCAAGTCACGTTATCTCACATTAGGCAGTTCACAGAGCTGAATGTTCAGAAAACAGGAGCTCAGTGATGAATACGACTGATATGTGGCAATAAACGGAGGATAATGGGATCACGGGAAAAGTATAAAAGATGAAAATGCGTTCGCATTGATTCTCACCACAAGAAGCTCCCGAGGCAGGTCAGCCCCATTGTCGATGGCTCTGTTCATGGAGACAAAGTGCTCCACGGAAGGCTTGTCCTTCACGCTGGGATTGTGCAGACTCGTGTTCAGCATGATGATCGAGAACGACAGAACGTAGCACGTATCTGCGAATGGAAGAAGAAAAGATGAAAATACTTCACAGATGGAAGACACTCGGAATCCGCGGAAAGGCTTCCGCAAGACGAGCCTTTAAAATTGAAAAATAATCATTTACCTGCATTCGTGAAAATCGTCGGATTCTGTGTGCAATAGTGCTGTGCGAAGCATTCCATCATCCGGTCAATCTTTTGTGCCTCACCAGGCAGCCTAAAGCTCCACAGAAATTGTCTGGAAACGGGAAGCAATTCAGAATTAATATCACGGTATAAAACACTAACGGTGTTATCCCATGAATAATACGATCATCGCTAAATCCCAATCATCTTCTAACTCAATTCCAGATTATATACTGTATTCTAGTGCAGACTTTCTCTTGGAACATTAGTTTCATGCACAAGATTCTTTAAATTAAGCCGTTTAATATTTCCCTACGAACGCCAACTGACTTTCACCCATTAATGAAAACAAAGGAGCAGCCGACAAGAACTCCTCGGCAAAAGAGAAATCTAGAAAAATCTTGCATGTAAACGTTTCCAAGAAAAACTGGAGCGCAGTTCTCGTCGAAATGACTGCGTATGTATAGATCAGAAAAAAAACCGAGTGACTCATACAGATTGGCAACGTCAAGTAAGTACTCAAGGACCACAAAATCGTTATCGACAGGAATACTTTTTAAATGGAATTAAAACACACGAATACAAGTTGCGTAGAAAACATTGCAGACAAATATTGTTGCGGAGAGATTTCACCACGCAGTAAGAAAAATGTCACGTCAATCCAAGTAGAGTTAAGCCAAGATTTCGTTGGACAAAAGAAAATAAAGACCCGAGTTGATTATCACCACTCCCTTTTCACACTTATTTGGATACTTGAGAGAAAAATAAGCCATTACTAGATTATCGCAGCCGAGCAAAAGAGATACGGGAATAGATTTGAGTAGATAAAATGATACTAACCTTAAAGCTTGAACCAGCAGAAGGTTGTTGAAGTCGTGCAGCTTGACGAACTCATTCAAGACCCGCTGATTCCGCTCTTCCTTCTCGCCCAAATAGTCGCCGATGGCCGTCTTATTCAGACCTTTCAAAATTGAAAAGACAGAAGAAACATGAAAAGATGCACACACAAAAAAGAACAAGTCGCAAAAGAGCAAGTATCAAAACAGCGAACGCGGGAGCACGCAGGTATCCAATGACTAAGTGCATACAAGAGCATCCAACAGCACTAGCACAAATTTCAGCCATCAATTCATTCCTTAGGCCAAGTTTGCTAGGTTGGATTCAGTTTGTTCAGTCAATCATTAAATTAAAATTAAACATCAACGCATACATTTTATGCTGAGTTTCAGTCTTCATATTTTTTTTTCTCGCTAAATTGAGTTTGTTGAGGAAGCAAGTACATCAATGTTGTTCACATAAGTTTGTTCACTTTGATAAAGTTTGCAGAAAATTGACGCAAGAAATATAGCCTGAATGAAGAAGCTTGACCCATTTGCAGCCAATTTATTTTTTTGGATATTAAGTAATGTATTGTATTTTTAAGGATATGCAGTTCAGACAAGCTTACTATCTGCACTTGCTCTGTAATAGTATTTTCTCTCTTGTGCCATGGCTTGTTCACAACTATGATCAGAAACACAAGGGCTCTGTGGTTTGATTGCCATCATCGCTAGTGATTACATTCCTCAAAAATTGTCTTTTCATTACAATAACACATTATTGTTGCACTGCGCTGAATTGTAATCTTCACCTTCACCGGCGTAGAGAAATTGCGCCGTGGCCAACGGCGAACTCTCAATCAACTCCTCATTGATCAACCACTCGATCCCCTTTTTCGGGTCCATGTTGAACTTCTTCCGCCCGATGGACAGCTGCTTCGCACGAAGGTTGTTCTTCCTGTTGACCGATCAAAAGGAAGAAAAACATGAGAACATTTGCCATCAAAACATCAAACACAATTTTCTCGTCACTTCTGTCGCGAATATTTCCGGAGTTTCCACGCGTATTCTACATCAAACGCTTGCATCACGTATGTAACCTTTGGGCAATAAGTTCATGTCACGCATTTCATCTCAGCCAATCGTCGACGGCTATCAAATAAGCATGAAATCCTCAAAATTTCATCGAAATCTTCTGGAGCTGAATAGCATTATAAACTAATACGATGCATACAAATTAAAGAAATATTCCAAGGAAAATAAGGGAAACAAATCCTGATGCGACCTGTGTGCAATACTGCGCACAGGTCGCAAATATACAGTATTTTTCCAAAACCGTCTGTATACTCCTTCACATTTTGATGAAAAAATTTCTAACCCACGGAACAGGCGTCTGAAAATCAA